TAGTAATATTTTTAATTTCGTTTACACTGCTTATAGGTAGCAGTGTATGTATTTTTTTGTATTTGAGGAAATATTATATGTAGGGCCCGGAAGTTCGTGTATTTGCATGTTTTTTTTAACCATTAGATTTATTGCTAAGTGAGCTAGAAATACATTTCAAGACCCTAAATGCCGAAAGTAATAACATTAGCTACTTATAGAGGTAAAAACTACGTTAATGAGTTCGGTGAACATATTTTTGCGTTCGACGGTAGTCTATTATTTTGTAAGATATGCGAGGTAATGGTATAGTACGAAAATATGTTGGCAGATACAGGCGGTCGTTTATATAGAATTTATCAACATCGTTGATTGTAAATTGTTAAAAAATGTATATTAATGAATGAAATAATGTTTTTAATCACTAGTCAAAGAAATTGAAATAAAAATGACTTTTTCCTCATATTTATAAATTAAAAAAAAATAAATATTTAAGTATATTTAAGGGCATATATCAGGATTTTTAAGCGCATATATATTATTTTATATATATACATATTTTGGTAGATTTTAGTGCATTAACTTCCGGGCCCTAATTATATGTATCAACTAAATAGTTGGAAAAGTCCACTAATTTTTCTGATAAAGGCTGAATTTTGAAACGGTACTTACTATGAAGTAGAATAGCCGTTTACCAAGAATATAAATACATCTGTTTTATATATATATAATTAGTGCTTTATTTCTATTCAAACTTTTATGTTTACAATATTCGGGGATGGAAAATGTTGTTTTCCCGTTAATCTCTTATATAATATGAAAGGAGTTTTTGCTATTATACAATATTAGGGACGGAACAGATAATTGTATTAGGCCCGCTCAATTAAGTGGCGTCTAATTACAATCTCTGTTCGGGTCGAGCGAGGCCTAGGCAGGCGCGCTTGGGGGGACTTTCTTTTAATCAGTGTTGTCCTGAAAAGGACAATTTATTACCCAATGTCTTCCAGTTGGTTATCCAATTGGTAAGTTCTTGCCTCTGGTTGATTACTCTTCTCTGCGTCCTGTAAGGTCCCTGTTGCTAGTCGATCCGCCTGACCAAAATATCTATGTCACACGAAGCTATTAATGGCGCATCGAGTATCCGCATCGGAGTTCCGGTCTAAGCCTTTCTCCGATGTCGGATATAACGAGAGGTTACCATTTAGTTAGTCCCGTGGACAAAGATATATTAGGCCGATGTGTTGGAATGCCGCTGACCGTACGATAGATTTTGTGGCGATGCTCCAAGAGAGTTGCACACGGGATCGTACCGGTCGTCGTTCGTCGGTCGGGGCTCTTGAACGCCGTGGACCGGAATCGGTGTCGTCGTTGGACCGCACGATCAATTAGTGGCGATACTCTGTGGGAGTTGCACACGGGATCGTACCGGTCGTCGGTCGGGGCACTTGAACGCCGTGGACCGGAGTCGGTGTCGTCATCGGACCGTGCGATCAATTTGTGGCGATGCTCTATGAGAGTTGCACACGGGATCGTACCGGTCGCCGTTCGTCGATCGGGGCACTTGAACGCCGTAGACCGGAATCGGTGTCGTAGTTGGACCGTACGATCAATTAGTGGCGATACTCTGTGGGAGTTGCACACGGGATCGTACCGGTCGTCGGTCGGGGCACTTGAACGCCGTAGACCGGAGTCGGTGTCGTCGTCGGACCGTACGATCAATTTGTGGCGATGCTCTATGAGAGTTGCACACGGGATCGTACCGGTCGTCGTTCGTCGATCGGGGCACTTGAACGCCGTAGACCGGAATCGGTGTCGTCGTTGGACCGTACGATCGATTTGTGGCGATACTCTATGAGAGTTGCACACGGGATCGTACCGGTCGTTCGCTGGTTGAATATTCTTGAGGTTTCTTCGGGTCTTCAGTCTTCGTTGTAGTTTGGTTGAAGTGTGAAGAAGGAGTGAGAGTATTTGGTTTCTATGCCGAATCTTACTAGTAGAAGTACTACTATCCGTACCGACTAGTAAACCAATCCACTATCCGGGTGCATGTTGTGTTTTCTCTCGTGGTAGATTTGATTATATCTCCGAAGTTTTTGGAGTTACAACCACGGGGAAGGTATTGTTGTCTTCGTCTTCACTTCCCCTATCCGTAGATGTACTTTTGATGTTTATATGATGTACGGAAGTGCTTGTAATTCCTTTCTAAGTCCAAAATGTGGTGTTTTACTCTTGTTCTGTCCTGTGATTGGTTGTGCTCGTCCTACGTTGCGATTAGCTGTCGTGAATAATAATTGTTGGCTCTGATAAAAGCCTTTTTCGTAATAAGTATATTTATGTTCTGTTACAATTTACATCTGATCTTCAACAAAAAAATAGGCTACTTCACTAGATGGTAGTAATGAGAGACCGAAAATTAAGTGAAGCCGTTTTCCAATTCTGAATTTTTATCCATATAATACGGCTTTAATCCTAAATTTTGTAAGCGTTACACGACCATGACTGAATTAGATGAAATCTGCACCCCACGACTATAATTAATGGCCCAACAACTTTTGAAGCTACATGGATATATTATCAAATATGTCTGAAAAACACCGGAGTTATCGTCATTATCGAGTATATATATATTTTTAAATGCATCATTGCCAGAAAATAATGGACATTAACGTTATTTCCTAGACAGTATTGTATACTGTCTAATTTGATCGGAAATATCGTTATTGACTAGTGATTGACATTAATTCCTTAATTTAAGTCTGTACCGGTAACATATACAAAGTTTTTTTTTAATTTTAATCGCATTAATAATCAGTATAAAGAGTCAATTAATTAAAAATAAAAATAATTATGTGTAATGTAACGTGCAAGGTTCAAGGTCTTCACCGGCTTATAGGTAGTTATTACATTTTAACTATACGGACTCAATTCAAAGATATTAAGCTGGACTCAATTCAAACATAAGAGTAGCATGGACTCGATTCAATATCGACGCATTTAATAATTATACAAGTATCTTAGGTAGAGGTGTGCAATTGTATATGGTATCCCACTGTCCCATACATTTATGGGAAGTCCCTATTGAGCATTTTGTATTGCAATAAATTTTTAGTTCATGTATCGAGTAGGTATTACATAAAAAGTTTTCATCAAAAGGTCCTCATCGACATCTACATAAAAATATTAAGATATTATTATTAAGATTAATAATTTTTATTGAGAGAAAGCTAAACAGATATATTTTGTTGTCTCCTTCTTGCAAGTGCATACTGCGTAACAGAAAATTTTACACTCAGCAGATCACATTTTAACGTTTAGCTCGGTTGGATTAAAAATTTGAGTGAATTGTTCTCTTATAAAATTAAAAGGTAAGATTATTATCCAGGGCATCTCATAGGCTTTTTGTTATATTTTAATTTTAAAGCAAGGTATGAGTATTTTAAGATGTACAAGGAATTTAAAATTTTTAAATACTCATAATTTGTTATAAAATTAAAATATACTAAAAAAGCCTATAGAATACCCTAGATAATAATATTACGTTTACCGTTTAGACATATCTTTTTATCAATTATTAATAAAAAGATAAGTGTTGAAATCTTAAGCCAGTCCAGAGTCCTATATGCGACTCGTATACTTGGTGTTCTTATATTTGTCAATCACGATGCAGTTATTGAATAACTTGTTTTAATATTGTTGTTTTGGAGAATAGTGGACTGTATAGGAAATAAACTTATTCTACTTAGAAGACTGGTAAAAAATCAATGAACACGGTGCTGTTAAATTTTATTGCCGGATTGACGGCCTACTATTTAGAATAATACAAAATATTGCCATGTTACAGGGGGGAACAATAGGTTTTGGCCAGCTGATGGGTAAAGAATAATACTATTGATTTTTAATAAGAACATAATAATAACCAAACAATGTAATACTACATAATAATTGACAATAAAGGAAATAATAAATCATAAAAACCAGGTAATACGTGGTCAGGTGGTGAGGTGGTAAGGTGTGGTGGGTGGTAACTGCAAAAAACTGAAGGTGGTAAATACAATCAAAGGTAGTTGGAGTAGTTGGCGTAGTTGGTCTTGGTAACGGTACACAACGATGTTATAAACAAAACGGTGTTGGTCATAAAGAAAAACGAACAAAATGACAACACAGGTCCGTCTGTTATTACGACGCTCGAACTAGAGCGTAAAATGTCCAGCACATCTGCACACGCAATCCCAGCGATAAGGAATGGCGGGAGGTGATTAGGGGTGTACGGTGTACGGTGTACATACTAACGGCGAAAAACGGTGATTACAGAATAATTGTCCTAACATACCGCCCACCTGAAGGACATCTGGCATTCATATATCTAGTGGTAATAGACACAACTTTTGCGGCTGGATGTTTGTAGAGTTTGCCGTCTGCATCACGAACTGTGGCAACACATACCACGTTATCTTCACCCGGATGAACTTCCGCGACCCGTGAAGTTTTCCAGGTGAGAGTTGGGGTTGGTTCTTATACTATGACAAGATCCCCAATAAGGAGATTGCATTCGTCCTTGTGCCATTTGGATCTTACGTGTAAGGTATGTAGGTAATCTTTCTGCCAACGTTCCCAGAAGTGCAATTGTAGTCGTTGGACCAAAGCCCATCGCTGGTGAAGTCCGAGTCTTGGAGCGATAACTGTAGTGGTGAGTGCAGGTAACGTACCCAGAGGTTCCATAGTAAAAAATGTCCAGCGGTTAGAGGTTGTGGATCGTTCGGGTCCGAGGATATGGCTCCTAGAGGACGAGAGTTGAGGGTGGCCTCTACTCGATGAAAAATGGTATTTAATTCTTCGCAGGTGAGTATTTGGTCGTGGATGGTACGATGAAGTAGCGTTTTCGCTGACTTGACCGCTGCTTCCCAAAGAACCCCCGTGTGTGGAGCGGTGGGGGATTTGGCGTTTATTCAGATTTGTTGCTGTGGTTGGTGAATCAACAAGGTCTTCCACTTCCTTCAAGTAGCATTTTGCTTCGACAAAATTTATTCCGCAATCACTGTAGAGGTCAGTACATCTTCCACGACGACTAACAAATCGGTTGACAAATCACTGACTAGTTCCAGATGGAAAGCACGAGTTGCCATACATACTAAATTACATAAATACCCTTTAGACGTCTGGATCCGTCTTAGAAGAGCGGCTTTTATGAAGAAAGGTCCGGCGAAATCAACACCCACGTGAGAGAATGGTTTTGTACTGACTAGTCTCGGCTTCGGTAAGTCTCCCATACTAGGCTGCAAGGATTTCGGACTGGCTTTGAAATCAGATAAGCATTGACGGAGTCGTTTGCGGATGACACTTCGGGTGGAAATTATCCAATATTCTTGTTGAAGAATATTTTGAGTTGTTTGAGGTCCTGGGTGACAATGATGACGGTGTACAAAATCGATTAATACAGGTTGGGGCAGTGAATCGGGCGATTTCTAAATAACTATAAAAACCCAACAAGTATTTTTTTATCAAATATATTTATATAACCTGAAAGTATATAAAATATCATTAAAGAAGTGTTAATTTGTTATTTAATTTTTATAAATTATATCTGCAAGATGGCGTCCATTTCGAAGCAAGCATTCGTGAAGGCGTCTTTGAAAACTGGTCATGACGTTTCGCAGAATTTCCTGTGAGATTTGTGTCACCTCTTCTCGTATTCTTTGTTTAAGATCATCAAGTGTCCTTAGTGGTGTTTGGTATACTATACTTTTGATATACCCCCACAGAAAAAAATCACACGCCGTTAAATCAGGCGAACGTGGAGGCCATGGAATATTCCCATTTCGAGAAATTATGCGATTCGGAAACAAATCTTTTAGAATATTCATACTCACTCTAGTTGTATGACTCATAGCCCTATCTTGTTGAAAAAATCCAGTCACTCTATATTGAGCACTTTGTTTAATAAAAAAATTTTGCAACATCTGTGAATATCACTCTGAATTTACGGTGACTGCCTCTCCACGTTCGTTCTCGAAAAAATACGGCCCTATGATTCCTGAAGAAGATAAAGCGCACTAAACCGTTACTTTAGAGGAATGCAGTGGTCTCTGATGAAGTTGACGAGGGTTTGTGTCACTCCGGTAGTTAAAGTTTTGCTTATTGACGTATCCGGATAGGTGAAAATGAGCCTCGTCACTCATCCATAAGTTGTGGACAATATCTTCATTTTCATTAATCAAAGCTAAAAATTGTTCACAAAAACGTCTTCGACTGACATAATCATTTTCATTTACAGCTTGAACCACTTGAATTTTGTACGGATGATGATGAAGATCATCATGTAAAATTCTCCTAACGGTTCGGTTAGATAATCTGAGTGTAGTGCTATGACGACGTGCCGACTGACGGGGGCTTCTTCCAATTGCTTCTCTTACTCGTTCAATATTCACTTGAGTTCGAATATTTCGTTTTCTTCCACCTCTTTTTTTAATGGTTGTGCCACTCTGTTCAAAATTGTTCACCCATAATTTTATTGCGTGGGCCTACGGCACTGGGTGATTACGATTAATGCCGAAATGAGCGCGGAAAACACGCTGCGCTTCCATGAAACTAGAGCTGTTTAGATAAAACGCTTTTACAGCGAACGCACGTTGTTGTGCAGTCCAACAATTCATGATAACTAAACGCTTATTTATGGTGAACATAATTTTATAGTTGTAGTACGCACATATCAATTACAGGGCTTTCCGTATTTATTTTTAAATCGCCCGATTCACTGCCCCCCCTGTAGTATCGTCCACTGGGAGTTCTTCGGTAATAAGATAGGATATCGATTTTTGAACGGTTAATCTGACCCGCGAAGCCTCCCGCCCACAGTGAGGAGATCCCCTACAGGGTCTATAAATTCTTTCAATACTCGGAGTTTTCTTGAACAGTTCTGACCTGAGGTGAGAAGTTTATGATCCCCTGCGAAGTGTACACGCTGTACCCATCGTAATGAAGCAAGTAACGCTTCATTTTTCTCCTTTCATCAAAGACCATTGGTTGGTGGGCTCTGAAGCGTCTCTGAAGTCGCATCAGATATTCAGTGAAACGGAGGACTTTAGGTAGTTCAGCTGATCAGTCGTGTCACCGAGTAGTTCACCGGGAACACGTATTTCGTGTCACTCCGCAGTTTTCGCTCAGTGCTAAGTGAGGGTTTGTTCGTTTTTTGTGCGGTTTGGCCAAGAGCTCTCGTGGTCATTTTGGCGCACCCCGCGCGATATCGGCTCAACCTGGGCGTAGTTCTGACGATTCAAGTTTTAGTAATTAAGCGACGGCGACGCGCACCGCGCCTGTGTACACAACCGGTTTTGTTTACATGGCCGCCTTTTGTTTTTAACACTGCCGCCGGGCTACCTCTAGGCCGCCCGACACCACTACTGATTTATTTTTTTTGCGATAGCTCGACTTCGGCTGGCACTACGGCTTAGGTCGTAGATTTTTTGAATTAGTGTTTTCCATAGGAATCGATTGGTGGTGGTCCCCACCGGATTGGACAAAAACTCAGGAACTTCGAAAAAGTAAATATATTAAATTTACGTTACTACGAAGCATATATATTTCGATTCCACCGTGACAGGAGAAATCCAGGGACACAAAGGGTCTCTCCGAGACGACCTCCCAAGTCTCTCGCTCTCCTCACGCTCAGCAACGGGTGAGTAATTAATTTATTAAAAAGAAACATATAAACACACGCCGCGCGGCGGCGGCGGCGGCGGCGGCCAACCAGCCGAACGGCTCGCGGGTGAAAGCGGGCGGCCCAGCCACTCACTCTCAACCACGACATCCCACAGCTGCACATGGGGAAGCCAACCAACGCACCACTCGCTCCCGCACATTATCTAACGATATGGGTGGAGGCAGCCAAAAAAATCCCCACCCCCGGGCCGACCCCTCCGGTCGCTACCAAGTCGATGGAAATACCGTGGGTCAAAGCTAAAGATGGCAAACTTTACCCTCTCGGGACCCTGCTGGACGGCCCCGAAGGTAGACGCTACTTCATAGACACGCTAGGAGACTTCCATCTGATCTCCCCCCCGTCACCCACCCTCTAGTGGAAGAACCTACTAGGAAAAGGTCCAACGGAGAGCCGGACGACCGATTCGAGATCGCCGATCTGGTCGCCCCCGACACCTCCGACCCAAAGGAGATTCATAATACCATCTCGGCGAAACTCAGGGACCTCACAACCCTCCTCGGTGATGAGGACCCAGCAACGAAGTATCTCAACAAGAATCTGCACTACATGGCTACAACCCTACAGGCCATGTCACCGTCACACCCAAGCTCAGTTGTTGCTGCTGCTCTATCCATCAGCACAGCCACTCAACTCAGCAGGCCTAACAGTCCCAAGACCATCGGGGACGTAGCTGGGGGCCAGCCAACGCCCTGCCCTACGTGCTGTCAAAACCGTGAAAACGTCTCTGAAATGGAGGTAGACCCCGATGCCGCCACAAAGGGAAAAAAAAGAGGAGGAGAACCACAAGAGCCCCCTCTTGGAAACAGGACCCAGGACCCAGGACCCTCCCCCTCCTCCGCCGCTAGCACCTCTGCTCCCAAGACCGCGACAGAAGGGCAGTGGACCGAAGTAGTAGGGAGGAAAGCATTAAACAAATGCACCAAAGAGGCTTTTCCCTCACTCCCTACACCGAACCCCACACCGAGGAAACTTCCCCCCTCCGGAGCGCAGCTCTCATTGTGAAAGTTCCAGCGGGCGCCACCTACGAGGACACAGTCAGGTCCCTGCAGCAGTCAGGCGTCAACCCTGACGACTACGGGGCAACCATCAATGGGATCCGCAAGACCAGAGGGGGTGATGTCGTGGTAGACCTGGGCAAAAGCATTAAGTCCAGGGAAGCTGCGGCTCCCTTCCTAAAGGCTCTGACCGACAAAGTCGCCGGTGTCCAAGCCTCTGTGACTCAGTCTGGAGCAAGCGTAGACATGGAGGTCATTGACCTGGAATTCACATCAACTGCTGACGCAGTTCTGGCCGCGGTCAAAAAAGCCATCCTTGAAGCGAGCAAAGGAGACGCCAAAGTAGCTGCCGCTTGCGGCGATATCTCTGTCACCTCCATGTGGAGACTCACAAATTTTCAGCAAGTTGCGAAGGTCAGAGTACCCAGATCGGTGAAACCAACAGAGGTCAGTCACGTCAGGGTCGGCTGGACGAACTGTCGCTTCAAGATCCGTCGTCCAGAAGCCATCAGATGCTCCGGCCCTGATATGAGTGACTCCTATCGCAAATGTGGGGACAAGTCTCACAAGGAGAAGGAGTGCCCTTCTGACAAATGCGTTGCCTGTGACCGCGCTGGACTGAAGCTGGGTCCTCACAGACCTGGGTCCGCTGCCTGCGGCGCCAAGCGCACAGCTGGGCTCTGCCGCTCAAACAACCGCCGCAATGATTAACCTCCTGCAAGTCAATCTGAATGCGTGCTGGGCCGCCCAACAGCTCCTGGACCAAACGGCCGCCCAGAGGAACATCGATGTCCTCATCATGAGCGAGCCCTACGCAAGGGGAGACGGCGGAGGCAGGACAATATTTAGTCTCGATCGCAAGGCCTCAGTCGATACCACCTCTGGCCCAGTGCCAGATCAGATATGAATCCAGTATTCATCCACGATGACTCTGGAAATGGAAATGGCTTCGCTTGGATAAGACTCAGGGATTTGACCATATTTAGTTTCTACTGGCAAGGCCGTAACTGGAAATTAATTTCGGGGGGGGGGGGGGGGGGTTGTAAACCAAAAATGTGTGTTCTAATTGTATTATAATATTGTGTAGGTAATTAAATATGGTTAAAAATTCATAATATTGTAGAATTATAAATAGTATTTATTAATGAAAATCACATTAAAAAATTTTTAGACTTAATATTAATTAGATTATTAAACTTAATTCTACACATTTAGTTTGAAAAATGGTTTATATTTTATATGACAAACTCTATATTTCTTTGTTTTTCATTTGAAAAACGATTGATTCCTTCTTCTGGATATACAACGATATTCCTATGTACACTGAGTAATGCTAGGCCAGTCAATCGGTCTTCTCCAGTTGCATTCCTTAGGTAATTTTTTATTCTTTTCAGCGTCGAAAAAGTTCTTTCCGGTGTCGCCGCAGTTACTGGTAAAGTTGCCAAAACTTTTAATAAAAATGAAATATTTGGGAAAAAATTTTTGTTACAATTTGAATATGCTTCAAGTATTTCAGGAGATCGTTCTAATATTGGTTTATCACACCATTTTATTTTCCACAGTTTTAACTCATTCGAAAGTGCATCCAAATCTAAAAACTCTGAGTATAATTCGAAATCACTTGCTTCTAATTCAGAATTAGTACATTTATTGGGAAGTAAAAAGCACAGCGAAGATATTATTTTTTTATGGTTAGTGAAGCGTTCTTTTAATTGTCTTATAAAATCATCAAAAAATAGTATTGCAATAGCTATACGAAAATATGTTTTTGGACAATTAGTAACAATATTCACACGATTTTGTTGACGAGCTACTATTCTGGGAATTCTAATATTTTCTTCTCCGTCAATAGATTTTAAAAGAAGTCCAGATTTTTCAAAAATATCATTAAACGTATGATCAATATTTTCACGTAAATGAATTAATTCGTTTAGTATTGTCTCGATATGTTGTACAGCTTCTACTAAGTCACAACTAACTGATTGTAAAGTTTTACACAGTGGAAGTGTCATTGAAAACAGAGTATTTGATGTAACCATACTTAATATAAATTCACTAGTAACTATTGCTCGATAAAATTGAATTGATTTTGATGACGTATTGATGTCTTGAACTAATTGTAATTCTTCCAAAGTTTCAACAACGGGTTGGAAAATTTCAACAAATCTTTGAATTCCGTTGTGGTTTTCAACCCAACGAGTGTCACACACTGATGTCAGTTTAGTTCACTTGGTATTAGGTAAAATGTTTTTTATTTTAGTTTTTAATATATTTGTCCGCATAGCCGAACTTTTAATGAAATTTCCAATAGATTTTATTGTACCAATACAATTTTTGACGTATTGAACATTGCACGAATGAGCTAGCGCTAAATTTAAAGAGTGTGCACTACAATGCACGTAAAGTGCTGCTGGATGACTTTCCCTTATAATAGTTTGGACGCCTTTAAGATTTCCACTCATGGACGCAGCGCCATCATAACCCTGACCGACCATATATTTATCGTTAATTGCAAGTGCTTGTAATGAATTTAATATTACAGAGGCTAGGTTTTGACCAGTTGTACTGTGAACCGGTACAAATTGTAAAAAGTCTTCACGTAAAACATAATTAATAGTATCAGTTGTCTCTACTGAATCTATATATCTAATACAAAGAGTCAATTGCTCTATGCGTGATATGCTTTGAAACGAGAACCGAAAACGACTTCGCTGCATTAATTTTACAAACTAAATTATCTTGAATTATTTTCCCACAAATCTTAATAAAATTATTTTGTATACTAGGACTTATGTACATAGCGTTTAAAGACTGATTTTCAATATGATTAATTAATTGTTTGTCTCCGCATGAAATTCGCATACGCAACAGAGCTCTAAAATTACCATCATTATGATCAGGTTCAACAATATTTAAATCAAGAGGACCCGAATCATTTCGCCCTCGAAGTGCTAACTCTTGTCGGCCACATAAAATAATTGTTTTTATAATTGGAACGAGTTTTTTTTCTATTTTCAGAAATTTGTAGAGCTCTTGCGGAATCGAGTTGTTGTCGAATATCTGGTTGAAGTTTGGCATACGTGTTAATAAAATTTTCACCAAATATTACACTATTTTTATGAAATTGTGTTGTGCTATGATGGGATAAAGTTTCAATAGCTTTTTTCCAATTATTAAATGGCTTATTAACTAAGATTCCCAATTGTTGATGATTTCCCTTTCCTCCTTTCCTTATTTTAAATAAATAAATTAAACACTTCGTAAATCGTAGCACACTAAAACGTCAGAACGTAAACCAAATGTCAACTAAATATTGGAAATGAATATTGCCCGTGAAAAAGTTTTAACTATTATCAAAGACTATTAAGATAAGATATAGTACTATATAATACTAAGAATAGTACGTGTCTAACAGCCGACCATGTAGCACGTGTTTACTTTTCGCGAGTGCGCATTTATAAGCTCCCGATAGCACATCACCGTTGGACTCACGCATACGGGTAAGATAATCATATAATGTAACTGCCCTCCTATCGCGTAATGAGCAACGTTAATAAGACGGGCAGACCGTCATTATCGTCGGTCATTAGCAAACCGATATCGAATAAACCCACTATTAAATCCAATGTAACACAAACAACCAAATCTACAAATGCATACAATTCACAAACCACTCTACTCAGTCGTACAAAGATACCCATAACCACTACTTCCGCCACCTCACCCCACTCTCCTATTACGACTACACCAACACTTCTGCCATCAACGTCTACCGCGACCAGCGATATCAACAATCAAGTAATTACTACCAACACCACAACACATAACACAAACCGTAATTATGCGTCCGCGGCATCTAATGAAAACTATCCCAGTAGAGAACAAGCACTTGTGTTTAATTCTATAGACGGAATACCTCAAAGAGACTACATTGTCGCCATAGGTAAAATAATCTCGCCAAAGAACATTGTATTCGTTTCCCGCATATCTAACAACCGTTTTTGCATTTTTCTCTCAAGCAAGCAAATACTTGACTCACTCTTAGAAGCCACTCAAACAATTACAATTAACGACCAGATAATACATATACGCAGACTCATAAATCCAGCCAAGAGGATTGTCATTTCTAACGTCTGCCCTTCTATCCCCAACCACGTCATACTCGATGCGCTCAAAAAAATCAATGTTATCCCTGTATCCGAAATTGCATACCTCAAAGCAGGTATCAACATTGAGGGATATGAACACATATTAAGCTTCCGCCGCCAAATGTTCATTAAACACGAAGAATCTCCAAACCTTCCCGGATCTCTACCACTACTATATAATCAAACTGAATATAGAATATTCTTCACCAACGATAGAATCACCTGCTTTTTATGCAAATCCACTGGCCACACCTCTAACAATTGCAAGAAAATTAATGTCAATCCCCAAACCGCTACTCCACCCACACAACCTGAACTTGTGGAAGAACCGACTATGGAAGAACCCAGCTTATATCCTCATACTAGCATAAGTACTCCAGAAATAAATATACCCTCCCCATCCCCCAAAAAAAATCCTAATACATCACACATGCCCCTCCAAACAATGGAAGGAATCTCAGAAGACCATCAAACCAATGATACATCTCAGTCCCCCTCCCACAACCATGCCGAAAAAACCGAGATAAACTTCAATGCATCTTGTGAACCACATAAAAGACACCTCTCCGAAAACTCATCTACAACATTACCTACTTCTCCCCCTAAGGCAAACTTAAACGCCGACAGAAGCAGGAATATCACCAAAAAAGCTAAAGTAGATAGATCCCGTTCCAATTCCTTATCTAAGACAGCCGACAAAATATCCGATGGGCTCAAACCAGCAGAGGACATCTTCTCCAATGAATCCCCCATTTCGTTACACCAATTCAAATACGTTCTGGAGAACTTTACCAACAAAAAACTTAACATCCACAATATCTGTAAAGACATCAACTCGGATATTACATCGCTTATGCTCTTGATCGATTCAATACGACCTAAAGTCACTGATCGTACCACCAAATCTCATCTCACCGAACTGGCCCACCTTTTATTCCAGTCACTTCCACCACTTCAAGACAATTAACATCATCCACGACACCTATCAGCTCGCACTCAGTACTATCATCACTCCGCGCCTAGTTAACTAGTCACAACTTATCAATACAAGAGCAAAATCTTATCTTTAAAAACAATTAACATGTCAGCTAACATTATACAATGGAACATAAACGGGTTCTACAGCAAATTAGAAGAACTCCAACTAATAATCAAAGACCACAACCCCACAATCATATGTCTACAAGAAACCAATTTTAATACTAAAAGCAATCCCGCTCTTCTTCACTTCAATATTTTCAAAAAAAACAGAAATGTATGCAATAGATCGAGCGGAGGAGTCGCTATTCTGGTCAACCACAATTTCCCCACCCAAGAAATTACACTCCACACTGATTTAGAAGCTATAGCACTCTCAATCACACTTCCCCACATAACCTTAACACATCTGTGTAACATTTATATACCCAACCAAAAAGATTTTACACTCTACGATATAGAGCATATCATCCAACAACTTCCCAACACGTTTGTAATTATGGGCGACTTCAATAGCCACAGCGAAACTTGGGGTTCATACAAAACCGACTACAGAGGTAGAATAATCGAAGAGATACTCTCAAACGACAGTCTTATTATATTAAACAATGGACAACCCACCAGAATAAATCCTTCTAACGGACATTCGTCAGCTATAGATCTATCCATCACCAACGCGTCCCTGTCCCACAAACTAGAATGGAACACTCTCCCTGATATATATAGCAGCGATCATATCCCTATAGAAATATCGATCACCCTCCCGTTGGACAACTCCCGCCTTAATTACCCTCCTATGTGGAGAATAAAAAACGCTAACTGGAATCTATTCTCATCTACCTTGATGGCAAATACCCCCTCTTTACCGCCTCCTTCCAGAACGAGCATCACCACTGATGTAGCAAACTTGACCGCCCTTATTCAAGATGTCTAAAATGTCCATAGGCGAATCTTCAAATAAGACTACACATAGACCCAGAGTACCATGGTGGAACGATGACATCAAAAAATCCATCCAAGTCAAAAACAAAGCACTAAAAACATTTCAAACCTCCAAGACCCAAGAAGATTTTATCGCCCTCAAAAGATGCAAAGCACGCACAAGATTAATCGTAAAAAACAGCAAGGCTTCAAGTTGGAAAAACTTCGTGTCCAGCATACATAACCAAACGGACTCTTCCATTGTTTGGAAAAAAATTAAATCCATAAAAGGGACCAATAGATCTAACGTCATAAATCTACTCATTGACTCAAAACTCTCCACATCACCTTATGACGTAGCCAATTCTCTGGGATGTATATTCCATGAAAACTCTTGCAATGCTAACTATGACCAAGATTTCTTAAACTACTCGCAATGCTATGCCGACCCAGTCAACACAGTAGACCCTCTCGACTCACAGCAATCCCTACTCAACTCTCCACTGAAGATCGAGGAACTTGAAGACGCCCTTCACAATTGTAAAAGTAAATCTCCTGGCCCCGATGGGATCCCCTACTCCTTCATCAAAAACTTCCCAAAAAACACCTTAAACCACCTCTTAGCCATCTACAACTTAATTTGGGATAGTAACGCCTTCCCTGAATCATGGAAACACGGTTATGTCATCCCCATACTCAAGCCTAACAAAAATAAATTCTTAGCAGAAAGCTACCGCCCCATTTGCCTACTTAACACTTTATGTAAATTACTCGAAAAAATAGTCAACCGTCGACTCATATGGTTTATTGAAAACCTCAACTTTCTCACCCCCGAACAAAATGGATTCCGATGTAACAGAAGCACAATGAACAACCTTCTAACCATTAAAAATGGACTTCATTCTTCCTTAAACAATAAACAAAACTTGGGAATGATCAGCTTTGATATAGTCAAAGCATATGACACGGCATGGAGACCCAGAATATTAAATAAACTCAACAAAATCATAGCCAAAGGATACATGCTAGATTTCATCTCGAATTTCCTCAACCACCGCACCTTTCAAGTAAAAACCTCCAACACGCTTTCAGACACCTTTCTCCAAGAAAGTGGGGTCCCACAGGGGTCCACTATCTCTGTAACTCTTTTCCTGATCGCTATCAATGATATATCTGAAGGAATTTCACGCCCAAATATAACTCTACTATTCGCAGACGACTTCGCTATTCTCTGCCGCAGTACTAACGTTAATTCTATTCAATCGATACTTCAAGACTCCACGAACAAACTAACGTCCCGGTCAAAAACTTCCGACTTCCGTTTTTCTCCGGAAAAAACCAACCTTATAGTTTTCAGCCACAAGAGGAATAAGAAGAAAATACACATCAACTTCGGAGACCAAGTCGTAGAAAACCAACCCAATGCTAAAATACTGGGCATCATTTTTGACCATAAAGCTTCATGGACCCCTCATATTTTCAACCTAAAGAACACTACCACACCTAGACTCAACATCATAAAAACCCTAGGTCATACCTCATGGGGAGCCAAATCTCAAACCCTTCTTAAGATTCACAAAGCATTCATACTATCGAAACTGGATTACGGCGCTCCAATCTTCTCATCTGCGAAACTCACTAAACTTATAATACTGGAGACTATCCACAACTCGGGAATAAGACTCTCCATCGGTGCCTTCCGCTCAAGCCCCATAAAAAGCATCTTAAATATTGCTGGAATCCCCTCCTTAGAAGTACGGTGGAGAGAACAAACCTACAAATTAGCAGCAAGAATTTCAAGATCCCCCAAAATCATATTCATCACCCTAAACATACATTCAATCACTCATTCATAAAATACGACCTCGAAAATATAATCCCATATGAAAAACCCCTATGTCCCCCATGGCAGTTCAGCATGAATATCAACATCGACTTACATCAATTCCCCAAAAACTCAACCTGTCCTTGAAACCCCCCCCCCCCAGATACGGCCTTGTCTACTGGAGACCTGGCACCACCTTGTTTGAGTTAGAGGACTTTCTTACGGACCTCGAGCAGGCCATCCGCGCTGCAGGAGACAACAGACTCATAGTGGCGGATGACTTCAACGCCTGGAACGTCGAATGGGGGTCTCGGACTAACAATCCAAGAGGAGAAATGCTTTCGGACTTGGCAGCAAGCCTGGACCTCATCCTCGCTAACGTCGGGGACACCCCCACCTTCGTCTGAGGAGAAGCCACGTCTATCATTGACGTCACCTTCTCCAAAGCAGTCGAGATAGATAGGTGGGCCGTCCTGGACGACCTCAATCTAAGCGACCGTGCTACGTGGTCTACTCGATTGACCCCACGCCCGCTGACCCACACCCAGGATGGCCCAGCGTGGGCATGTCATGACTCCCATCCGGGCTCGGCCCTCAAAAAGCTTGATCTCGACACCTTTGATCAACACATCGCCTCGACCCCCCTCACCATGAGGAGGAACATTGCCGGGGCAAACGCCGCGGTCTCGGCTGCCGAGACTCTCGACAGTTATATTACGGGTGCCTACAATGCCTCCATGCCACTCAGGACCCGCTGCCCTAGAGGCAGGAGGCCCATGTATTGGTGGTCGGACCGCATTGCAGACCTAAGATCAACCGCTCTGTCTCTACGCAGGGTCTACCAGTCCTGCCTTAGAAGGCATGGACGGGAGGGATCTGTGGAGGCCAAGACAAACGTTGCAGCGGCAAGGAAGGACCTTAGAAGGGAGATAAGAAATTCCAAAGAGCAAGGGTGGAGGGACCTCTGCTCACCGATAGATACGAATCCCTGGGGGACAGCCTACAAGCTTGTCGTGAAGAAATTCGGAGACGGGACCTCCAGGCTCGCCTCCAAGGGGCGAAAGCAGGCGATCGCCGATCACTTGTTCCCTACAGCTCCAGTCACTCACTGGGGCACATTACCCTTGTCAACGGCTAGAAACATCCTTAATAACTTAGATCCCGAAGCAGACGAGCCAGCTCCTGACCCGGCAGCCCCTGAATTCACAGTAGACGAACTGACCAATGCCACCAAGAAGATGTCTTCAGGAAAGGCGGAAGGTCCTCAGGTATCCCAAACGAGATACTAAAGAGAATAGCTCTCGCACAACCTAGAACCACTCTGAGCATATACAACAAGTGCCTCACTGAGCTCACTTTCCCCGTCACGAGTCTCGGCCAAGGTAAGAACCATCTTAAGGATACCTCAGAGAGTGGCAGCCCTGAGGACCATAAGGGCCTACAGGACTGTTTCTGACGAAGCCGCTTTCGTTCTATCAGGCATACCACCAGTATACCTGATAGCCGAAGAGAGGGCCAGGATAAAGGCTAGGGCGCTGGAAGTTCCCCTACCTGGGGACTCTCCCTCCACCAGAAGCAAGATCAAATATGAGGAAAGGAGGATCAAAATTGAGAAATGGCAAAGCAGATGGGAAGTCACCTTAAAGGCCTCATGGACCCACCGAATCATACCGAGCATCACCAGATGGGTGAATAGGACGACGCCTAGGGCACCCTGGACCTACCACATGACACAGGCCTTATCTGGGCACGGGTGATTTCAGTGGTACCTTCACCGCATGGGAAGGGCCCCGAGCCCTCACTGCATGCACTGCCCATGCGGCTCGGACACGGTGGAGCACACCATCTTCCACTGCGTCAATTGGGAAGGCTGCAGAGCCGAGCTTCACGAACGCTTGGGTCAATCTCCAGTCGTGACAGATATGCAGGGCATCCTGTGCGGTCCGGCCTTCGAAGACCTCACGATAGATCAGCAGGAGAAGGCTACCGCTATATACGAAGCGGAAGAGTCTTTTAGACTTTTAGACTGTTAGTGGATTAACATTTTGCGGGGTAACCCCATACCACTCCACTCCGCCCATCTAAACTTAAAATACTTATAACTCATAAACTACTTATCCTAAAATCGATTTTTTATGTATCAAAGTACTTAGAAAAATATTCTACTTTGGAATATGAAATTAAAACTCTATGCTGTCATTCAAAATAGTAAAAAACTTAAAATTATAAAGATAAAAAATATT